CCAGTTCTCCGGATCGGCCGCGGCGCGTAGGGAGGCCTTCAGCTGGCGGTGAAACCGCTCGACCATCCCGTTAGCAGCCGGGTGATAGGCTGTCGTCCGGATGCGGGTACAGCCTAAAAAGGAGAGTAAAGACTGGAAGAGATTAGATTCAAATTGGGCACCACGGTCAGTCGTGATTGTGGAGGGTGCACCAAAGATAGCAACCCAACGACTGAGAAAAGCCTTGACCACCGTTGGAGCAGCAATGTCAGGCAGGGGAATTGCTTCAGGCCACCGAGTGAACCGATCCACACAGGTGAGGAGATAGGAACAACCATTGGACAGAGGCAGGGGGCCTACAATGTCCAGGTGAACGTGGCTGAACCTTGCACCAGGGCCGGGGAAGGTACCAATGGGGGCCTTGTTGTGCCGCTGGATCTTGCTCCGTTGACAGGCAATGCAAGCCCGTGTCCATGCCTTCAGGTCCTTGTGCATACCAGGCCAGACGAAGCGGTCGGAAACCAGCTTGTCGGTTGCTCGACTCCCAGGGTGAGAGAGATTGTGCAGGGAGGAGAAAACTTTACGGCGGAGGGATGGCGGCACAAATGGACGATGGGAAGGGGTGGATACGTCGCATAAAATGGTGCCGTTGCCAGTCGTCAGTGGTAGTTCCTGGAGTTGGAGTCCGGAAACATCCTCATCACAGGGTGGACCGACACGGCGTTGTTCAGCGGCCATCTCAGCGAGGTCTATCCCGGGTGAGGGCTGAAGATGAGCAATAGAGGGCCTGGAGAGTGCGTCAGCCACCTCATTCCTTGACCCGTCAATATGGCGGATGTCTGAAGTGAACTGCGAAATGTAGTCCAGGTGACGGATCTCCCGGGGGCTTAGCTTGTCAGAGTGGGAATGCATCGCAAACGTGAGTGGCTTATGATCAGTGAAAATTGTGAACTCTCGACCTTCGAGTAAATGCCGGAAGTGCCTTACGGAAAGATAAGCGGCGAGAAGTTCCCGTCCGAATGTGCTGTAGCGGGTTTCGGCCTTGGATAGTTTCTTGGAGAAGAAAGCCAAAGGCACGGTAGAATCCGGCAGACTTTGTTGAAGAACCGCGCCAACAGCAACATTGGAGGCATCGACCATCAGAGATATGGGTGCATCAGCATGAAAGTGAGTCAGGAGGGTGGCATCAGCCAGAAGGGCTTTTACCTGCTCAAATGACGTGAGTGCGGCTGATGTAAGTTCAAAGGTGCGTTTGGGACCTGAGAGGAGATTGGTCAGAGGTAGGATGGTATCGGCACAGTTCGGGAGAAACCGGCGATAAAAGTTCACCATACCAAGAAACCGTTGCAACTGACGCTTCGAGGTAGGGGGTGGAAAGTCCCGAATGGCGGCAACTTTTGAGGGAAGAGGCCGAGTACCGTTTGAGTCTATCAGGTGACCTAAGAACTCAAGAGAAGTGGCTCCTAGGACACATTTGGAAGGATGCAGGGTGACACCAAACTGCTGAAATCGGTCGAAAAGCAGGGTAAGGTGATGGAGATGTTCCTCCACATCTCGACTGGCGACGAGAACATCATCAATATACGCATAAACAAATGGAAGGCCGCGTAAAACACGGTCAATGAAACGTTGGGAAGTTTGTGAGGCATTTCGGAGACCAAATGGCATACGAAGGAACTCGAACAAGCCAAAAGGAGTCGTCACTGCCGTTTTGGGAATGTCCTCAGCCGCAATCGGAATTTGATGAAAAGCCCGCACCAAATCGATCTTCGAGAAAATGGTTTTGCCGAAAAGGGCTCCAGCAAAGTCCTGAAGATGAGGAACGGGGTACCGATCGGGCATAGTGATATTGTTTAGGGCTCTATAATCGCCACAAGGACGCCAATCATCCGTATTTGGTTTAGGAACCATGTGCAAAGGAGATGCCCAGGGACTGTCAGACTGTCGAATAATCCCTAGTTGCAGCATGTGGTCAAATTCTGCTTTAGCAGCCGCAAGACGCGCGGGAGCAAGACGGCGGGGACGAGAAAAAACGGGAGGACCAGTCGTTTTTATGTGATGAACAATATCATGGGGAAATGAGGTGTCAGAAAAATGGGGCTTAGTGAGGGTAGGATATTTTGCTACAAGTCTACGAAATGGACAGTCAGGGTTTGGGTCAAGGACGGAGAGCTGGTTAGAAACTGAGGATGGAGGAAATCCTTTGACAGTGAGGGTAGTTGCGCGATCATGGAGGCGAAGTTGTCTGCAATCCACCAGAAGGTCAAAGGCGGCCAAAAAATCAGCACCAAGGATAGCAGTGGGAACATCAGCAACCACAAATATCCAGGGGAATAATCGCCGGAGGCCGATATCCAGGGAGAGGGATCGAAATCCAAA